TAGCAAGATGATTAAGAGCATCTATGTAATAAGCACTGCAGCAATCCGAAGATTCCTAAGTATACGAAGAGATTTATGCTAACAAGAGCAATATCAAAGTATTAAATCCTTGAATACGGAACTATATAAATTCTAATAAGCAATGCAAGTATTTACTGCCTTTGAAGCTACTCAGTATATGAAACTGAATACTTAGATTAATAACTGAGAAGCTATGTACTGGATTCATCTAATGGTAATGAATGTGTTCTTATATATCCAGCTTTTTCAGTTCTATTAATAGTATTGATTATTGGATTTCTTGAATTATCTGAATAATCCAACTAATTCGGATTACTATAGATTAGCTACTGATTCATTCTGATTCTGTAATTCTAATTCTTGCTTATATAAGCCTTAGTTCTTATAATATTGAATTCTTCTCTATTTTTCCAAATAGTTATTCCGAGTATTCTAGCTGATAATCTGCATATTGGATAGATTATAATATTATCTTCTTTCTATTAATTATTATTTCTAATAATCTTCTATAAGTATTCTAGCAAGTTATTCGTATATATAATTATGCTTTCCTAATTAAGATATTAAATAGAATTAATAAATTGTATTCTAGTTATTCAATAAAAACTCAAGAATATTATTATCTTGCTAAGCTTATTTCTGCTTTTAGTATCGAAATATCTGCTTATGCTCATTATCAAAAGATAAAAGCTTTCTATTGTTTCGCTGAAAACTCTTCTTATTATAAGGAATATATTTCTCTGAATCAAAGCTGTAATACTAGTTGTTTCTCAGCTTCTGCTAATTAGTTTCTTCATTTCTTAATATTCTCTGTAATTACTAATTTTCTTTTCCAGCAGAATATTTGATTTGTAAAAAGCGCAAGATTTTGAGCAAAAAAGCTAAGGCAGAGTTAGCAAATGCTGCTGCTTTACAAGCTTTGCTAGCATTGCAAGCTTATCTTAATTATGCACAGAAATAGCAAAGGCTGTTGAAGAAACGTGCTGCAGAAATGATTCATTATGGTTTCAATTCCTTGAAGAGATTTGCTGATGAAGAGGATTGCAGTCTTTATGAAGAGGAGACTTGTCTGATGTCTTAGGAACATTTTGAGGTTATCGACTGAAGTTTCTTAGCTTTTGATTCTAGTATATCTGATTAGCTTTCCCTTCTGGAGAGTGAAACTGCAGCGCCTGATTCTCGTTCCGGGGCGGAGAGGTTTTAAGTAGTGGTTTCTTTTATTGTTATGATGCTAAAATGACTGCTAATGGTGTAATAGTGGGATTGAAGCTAGTCTTTGTTTTTCAGTATTTTATTAATTTTTTCATAGCATTTCCGATGTTTTTCTGCAATTCCCATGAGTTTTCGCTTGCTGAGTAATCTTTCTACTTGATGAGATATTCGAGCATATTGTTATTGCTTCTGTATTTGAGAATCTTTTCTATCTTGTATTCTGGTTTATTATCTTCAATTTCTACAGTATTATTTATTAGTATTTCTTTTGCTGCTGGTTCTAGTAGCGAGATGTGAAAAACCAAATGTATTCTCATTTCATAAGATAGTGCAAGTTCGTAATTGATTGGGAAGATTTTTCATAGAATTTTGAATAGTTCTAGTTTCTTGTAATCGAGTTTGCTGCTAAGCTTAGTTATTTTGATATTTTTGCGAAGTAGATATACTTTATCTCCTTTCTGTAGGATTGATTTCTCAATCCTTTTGAAGTTTGTATAGCATATTATTTGTTTTTGAACGAATTGTAGTTCTAACTGAAATTCTTTCTAAATCTTCTTGATTTTTCTAATTCTTTTGTTTATAGCTTCTATATCTGCTTCTTGCAGTGCTTTATGATAAGCTGTTGGATTGTATTTGTAGAGCATAAAGAATGATAATTTCTTTATTATGCTTATATTCATGCTATTATAAGCAAACTATATAAGAAGCAATAGATTGATTTAATTATTCTGTTTCTAGTTAATATAATATTGAAAGTATTATTCAATAATCTGATTTATTCTTTCTATCTGTTTATCTGTTTGCAGATGAAATGCTATAAATATTCTGTAGTATATTCCAAGCTATTTTATAAGTGAAATTCAAAACTTTGAATTAAACTTTCTATTTTTGTTAGAGATTATTTCTTCTAGTATGCTGTAGTTAGCAATAATTATTCTGAGGAATGTATATGCAAGTTCTTCTGCTATACTGCTTTTCTTATAAAGAAGAAAGTAAGCATACTTGCTTAGTCTGCAAACTATTACTAGAATGCTATTATATTGTATCTTAGTTAAGAGTTCTTATAAGAGAAATAGCTTGATAATAAAGTTTAGATTAATGAATTGCTAAATAATTATAAGTATTAATAGAAGATATAATAGTTTGTAAAGCTTATATCTTTCTACTTTATTCTTCTTATAGCTATTGTATTATTATAAGATATTCTTAATTCTTTTTCTAAAGCTTAATAGATTTCAATATCTTTTAATGCATTTATAAGTTGCTCTAATTCTCTAATATTCATATACTAGTATGTTATATATATCTTTAATGTATTTGTTTTGTTTATCTGAAGTTATTAATTCTGAGTTTTTTTCTGAAGATTCAATTCTAAAAGCAGCATTTAGTTCTCTATATGTATTAATAAGATTTTCCAACTCGTTTTGAGCAAAGATGTTCTATATATTCGAAGAATCTATATCTTGATAGTTTAATCTTCTGCTAAGAGTATCTGCTTGTTCGTTTTCTGAGCTTTTGTAGTATATAATCTTGAAATCGAATTATAAAAGGAATTCTGCTTATCTAATTTATTGTTTATTCAAAACTTTGATTGTTATGAATATAGTTAGATTTTTATAATCTGAGTATATTATAATTAGATGCTATGTATTAATGAAATAGTATTGCTATTTCTCAAAAGCTTTCATTATTATTATAAGCTTCTAATTAGGAATTCTGTAATTAATTTCTAGCTTATTCAGCTTTTTTGAAAAGTTGCTTATAATTCTTAAACATTCTTAATTATCTCGCTAACCAAATTGTTCTCTGAATATATATTCTAATATATTAGTTTCAATTTCAAAAGGCTTGTAAGGATTTGCTTTATACAGAACTGGTTCTAAAGTAATATGCTTAATAATCTTATTAAAAGCTTCTTGTGCCTTAGAGATTCATTTGAAAAGCTATTCTTTCTTAATAAGATTTGTAAAAGAATATGCAATTTAGCTATAGTTCTCGATAAACTGTTTGTAGAAATTGATATATCTGAGAAAAGATTTAATATTTCTAATATTTCTAGAAACTAACTAATTTCTAATAACTTTTATCTTGTTTTTCTATAGCTTAATATATTCTAGCTTGATTATGAATTCGAGATAGTTGATCTTTTGTATATAAAAGTAATTCTTTGCGAATTCTATAAGAAGTTTTGCATTTTGAAGCATTTGCAATATTATTTCCATATATTTCTTATATTCTTCAAGTATTCAAGAATAGATAAGAATGTTATTAAGATAGGCAATAATAAACTGATTTAGATGCTTATATAGAATATAATTAATTATTTTCTGAAATAAAGCTAAAATATTTGTTAAACTAAAAAGTATAATCAAATATTCATAGTATTTATAGCATATTCTAAAAGCAGTTTTTCATTCTTCTTCTTTCTTTATTCTGATTAGATTATAAGCTTCTTTCAGATTCAGAACTGTGAATTACTATACTTCTTACAATCTATCTTGTAATTTCTTAATAAGTAGTAATAAATATCAGTTTTTAATTATAATATTATTGAATTGCTTATAATTAATATATAATCTAAGCTTGCTATTTTTCTTAAGTATAAACAGGATAGGATATTCTGTTAGTAATTGCAATAATTATATATATTCTTTCTTAAGATTCTCGTTAAGATATTCTCTAAGTATTTCTAGCTATGCTTTATCTAGTTCGTAAATAGAAAAGAATTTAAGCTATTTCCCTTTTTATAGCAGGATTTTGTAGTTATATAAGCTATGTTTTAGCAATTCTATATTCAATTCTTTCTGAAATAATTTCTTAAACTTATAATATTCTTATAATATATTTGCAAGTATTGGTTCTGATTTTTATGCTGTTTCTGCTATCTAGAGGAATAGTAGATATTGTTAAGCATGCTTCTTTTCTGATAGCATTTTCGAAAGCCTTAAGCATTTGCTCTAATGTAATGAGCACTGCAGCAATCCGAAGATTCCTAAGTATACGAAGGGGTTTATGCTAATAAGAGCGGTATCAAAGTATCAAGTTCTTGAATACGGAACCGTACAAGTCCTAATAAGCGATGCAAGTATTCACTGCCTTTGGGGCTACTCAGTATATGAAACTGAATACTTAGATTTACAACTGAAGAGCTATATACTGAATTCATCTAATGGTAACGAACGTGTTCTTATATATTCAGCTCTTCAGTATGAATATATTGGATAGCAACATATTCAAGTTATTCTGCTAGCTCTGAATAGCACATATTCAGAGCTATCCTTCCTGATTAGCCGTGCCCATAACCCTAATCCTGAGTTATATAATCAATACTTTGTCAGGATGTTGAATCCTTAATACCTGATCCCTGTTACTCATAACCTGTTCTATAACCTGCATATTGAATGAATCATAATATCATTTCTCTCCTATCAGTTGTTATTTCCAATGATCTTTTGTAAGTATTCTAGCAAATCCTTCATATATATAATCTTGCCTTCCTAATTAAGATATTGAACAGAATCAACAAATCTCGTTCTCGTGCTGAGAAGACTAAACAAAAGGATTCTCTTCTTTCCTTAGTTCTTCAAAACGCTATTATCATGCCTTCTTATTCCTTTTGTAAGGATTGTAGTATTCAGTTTTGTTAAATCTCTATCGAGGATTCCTCTTGCTGCGCTGAATGTATTTGCTTAGGTTGCTCTCGATGCAACGTTTAAGAGCTGAGTGCAGCGGAAATTCGCTGGATAGATGTTTAACACCAATGCCTGGAAAACCAACTCGAGAATGCTGAGGAGCAGCTGCGCAATGCTGCTGCGGAAGTAGGATGTTTGCGAAAGCAGAAGCGTTTATGGTTTGAGAGGATGATGAAAGCTATTCGTCGAGGCCTTTTCAGTGTGAAGAAGTTGGAATGTGAGGAGGCTGAGAAGAAGCGAGCTTGCGTTGCTGCTGAAGTGCAAGCTGTAGTGGCAGAGGAATCTGTTATTATAGCTAGGGATTCTTCCTTTGAAGGTTTCAATTGGAACTCTGTAGATTTGAGAGGTTCTATGATAGATTGATCGGACTTTCTGGAAAGTGAGATTCCCGAAGCTTCTGAGTTTCGGTCCGGGGCGGAGCGATCGTCTTAGGTACTGGTTTCCTTCCTTTTCCAATACTCAGCTATTCTTTCTTGAGTATTTTCAACGTTCTTCCATAGTTCCTATGAGTTTTCGCTTGCTAGATAGCCTTTCCATTTGATAAGATATTTTCTTGTGCTATTTATGCTTCTATGCTTGAAAATCTTTTCTATTTCATACTCTGATTCATTACTTTCTACTTCTGCTATATTATCTATTAGTATTTCCTATGCTGCTAGTTCTAGCAGTAAGATGTAGAAAACCGAATATATTCTCATTCTATGAAATAATACTAACTTATAATTAATTGAAGAAATCTATTGCAAGATTTTGAATAATTCTAACTTCTTATAATCAAGTTTGTTGCTAGATTTAGTTATTTTGATATTTTTCCGAAGTAAGTAGATCTTATTTCTTTTTTGTAGGATTAATTTCTTAATTCTTTTGGAGTTTGCATATTATATTATTCATTTCTGAATAAATTATAGTTCTAATCAGAGTTTCTTCTAAACTTTCTTAATCTTCTTAATTCTTTTATTTACAGCTTCTACATCTGCTTCTAGCAATACTTTATAATAAGCTATTGAATTATATTTATAGAATATAAAGAATAATAACTTCTTTATTATGCTTATATCTATACTATTATAAGCGAATTATGTAAGAAGTAATAGATTAATTCAGTTATTCTGTTTCTAGTTAATATAGTATTATAGATATTATTTAATAACTTAATTCATTCTTTCTATTTATTTATCTATTTATAGATAAAATGTTATAGATATTCTATAATATATTCTAAGCTGTTTTATAAGTAAAGTTCAAAACTTTGAATTGAACTTTCTATTTTTATTAGAAATTACTTTTTCTAGCATATTATAATTAGCAATAATTATTCTAAGAAATGCATATACAAGTTCTTCTGCTATACTGCTTTTCTTATAGAAGAGAAAATAAGTATACTTACTCAGTTTGCAAATCACTACTAGAATGCTATTATATTATATCTTAGTTAAGAGTTCTTGTAAGAGAAGTAGCTTAGTAATAAAGTTTAAACTAATAGATTGCTAAATAGTTATAAATACTAATAGAGAATATAGTAGTTTATAAAGCTTATATCTTTCTGCTTTATTTTTCTTGCAGCTATTGCATTATTATAGAATGCTTTTAATTCTTTTCCTAAAATCTAATAAGTTTCAGTATTTTTTAATGCATTTATAAATTGCTCTAACTCTCTAATACTTATATACTGATATACTGTATATATTCTTAATATAATTATCTTATTTATTTAGAATTATTAATTCTGAATCTCTTTTCAAGAATCCGATTCTGAGAATAGTATTCAGTTCTCTATATATATTAACGAGATTTTCTAACTTATCTTAAGCAAAGATATTCTATATATTTAAGGAATCTGCATCTCGATAGTCTGATTTTCTGCTAAGAGTATCCGCTTATTTATTTTCTAAGCTTTTGTAGTATATAATTCTGAAATTGAATTATAAAAGGAATTCTGCTTATCTAATTTATTGCTTATTCAAAATCTTAGTTATTATAAATATAGTTAGATTCTTATAATCTGAGTAAACTATAATTAAATGCTATATACTAATAAAATAGTATTGCTACTTCTCAAAAGCTTTTACTATTGCTATGAATTTCTGATTAGGGATTCCATAGTTGATTTCTGAGCTGTTCAACTTCTTTAAGAAGTTACTTATAATTCTTAGATATTCTTAGTTGTTTTGCTAGCTAAGCTATTCTCCAAATGCATATTTCAATGCATTAGTTTCAATTTCAAAGGATTTATAGAGATCTGCTTTATACAGAACTAGTTCTGAGATAATATGTCTAATAATCTTGTTGAAAGCTTCTTATATCTTGGAAATTCATTCAAAAAGCTATTCTTTTTTAGTAAGATTTGTAAGAGAATATGCAATCCAGCTGTAGTTCTTAATGAATTGCTTATAGAAGTTAATATATTCGAGAAAAAATCTAACATTCCTAATATTCTTAGAAATTAGCTAATTTCTAACAGCTTCTATCTTATTTTTCTATAGCTTAATATATTCTAGTTTAATTGTAAATCTAAGATAGTTAATCTTTTATATATAAAAATAACTCTTTGCAGATTCTATAAGGAGTTTTGCATTTTAAAGTGTTTACAATACTATTTCCATATATTTCTTGTATTCTTCAAGTATTTAAGAGTAGATAAGAATATTGTTAAGATAAGCAATAATGAACTAATTTAGATGCTTGTATAGAATATAATTAATCATTTTCTGAAATAAAGCTGGAGTATTTGTTAAACTAAAGAGCATAATCAAATATTCGTAGTATTTATAGTATATTCTGAAAGCAGTTTTTCATTCTTCTTCTTCCTTTATTCTAATTAGATTATAAGCTTCTTTCAGATTTAGAACTGTAAATTACTATGCTTCTTGCAATCTATTTTATAATTCCTTAATAAGTAGCAGCGAGTATCGATTCTTGATTATAATATTATTGAATTGCTTGTAATCAATATATAATCTAAGCTTGCTGTTTTTCTTAAATACAAACAGAATAAGATATCCTGCTAGTAATTGCAATAATCATATATATTCTTTCTTAAGATTCTCATCAAAGTACTCCTTAAGTGCTTCTAGCTATACTTTATCTAATTTATAAATAAGAAAGAATTTAAGCTATTTTTCTTCTTATAGCAAGATCTTGTAATTGTATAAGCTGTATTCTAGCAATCCCGTATTCAATTCTTCCTGGAATAGTTTCTTGAACTTATAATATTCTTATAGTATATTCGCAAGTATTAATTCTGATTCATATGCTATTTCTGCTATCTGAAGGAATAGTAAATACTATTAAGTATGCTTCTTTTCTGATAGCATTTTCGAGAGCTTTAAGCATTCGCTCCAAGCCGGACCGAGCGCTCGAAAGCTTAGTTTCGAGGTTTTTCTTATATAGTTTCACAATTTATATTCTAAAGTTTTTCCTTATTGCTCTAAAGCGAACTAACTTACTGAGAATCTCGCTTTCATTATTTTGCTAATCTGTTAGCGCTCTAATACTATTTGAATTCGCTTATTACTAAATCCTTCTCCTTGAACTGCTAGCCCTGCTAATTTGAAAATATGTATAAAGTTGTATAAAGCTTTTTTTCCTGAGTATTCTTCAATTACTAGCTTCGATTCTGCGCTATTAATTGTAACTATCTCTCTGGATACAGCTTGTTTTCATAAGATCTAGCTAGTAGTTCAATCAATTCGAGGATTATGCTTCTTAAGCTATGAAAGTCTCATAATCAGCTTATGCTATGCTATATTCGTAATATCAAAGAAAGCTCTGATTATATATTCTTGAATCAAAACAAATAGATAATCAGTCTTCTTATTGATTACTTCTTGATTATATATAACAAGTTATCCTTTTATAATGCTAAGAATATATAAGCGCTTCTTTCATTTTCATTATAATTATATCTGATTAATAATATATGGAAATATAAAGTTTCTCTAAGCATTACTATTTAATAATGCGCTATATTTGTATTCTTGAATATATATATCGAACTTGATATAAGTATAATTTGTTCTAGAAGCTTTATATAGAAACCATTCCAGTTTAATCATCTGCAATCTCTTTACAAGCAATCCTATTCTTTTAAGTTCGTTAAGAACTGTTTATCCTTTTGAGCTTGCTTTGCTGCTTCTCAAGCAAGCTTCTTAGCTTGCTTTTGCTTATATTATTATTGCTTCTAATCTTTTTTTTGTTAATGCTAGTTGCAAATCTTATTATTAATATAAATTGTATAGAGTATTATCTTGCATTGCTATTATTCTATTTTTTTATTTATATATTATATAAAGCAATTATTTAATAGCTTGATATATGTATTATAATATTGCTTACTAAGAATCTCTCTAAAGTAGAGTTCCTATTTTTCAGCAGCTTGAAGAATTTGTTCTAATTCTCTAACGGGAAATTATTTGTATTATATCTTTTCCAAGAAATGCATTCTATAGCTATAATAGATACAGGAGATTCAAGCTAATTCGTAGTATAGATTGTAAAATGAGCTGATCCGAGAATCCTTATCTTTTTATGCTTCAATGTTTTGCAAGGAAATGTAGATAAAAAGCTTTTCTAGCTTTATTTCATAAAAGAGATATTCAATTCATATTGTTTCCTTATTCTATCTAATACTGAAGAAGAATCTTTCTATAAGCTTCTTGGATTTATTATTTATAGGAAGCTTTAGTAAATTATTAGATCATTTGTTCTAACTTAATCTTTCCGTTGCCTGAGAAGCGTTTTCAGTATCGTTTAGATATTTATACTAATAACTAAGAGGATATCATTCTTTATTCATTTCTCTGGTTATAATATTTAGTGTAGATGATAAGAAATAGCGAAGAGCATTGTTATTAAGCTCTTTCTCCAGCGTCTGAATACTTCATTTAGTAATATTGAAGCAGTTTGAATTATTGCTGCTTATAGTCATGCTAAGCATATACTCTCGCCCTGCTATCACTATTTGCTTATAGTACTTAGATTTCTGAGAAAATCATTCTAAATCTTTCTTACTTAAGAGATATATTAAGCAGTTATTATTATAGCAGAATATTCAGCTAAGATTTCTATAATTAATAGAGTCTAATACTTGCTTTAAGGAAATGTTTTTGCTTAGTTAATTAGATTTCTATTATCAAGCAACATTTATCTAGCGCTTTTTCTGAACTAATTACTATTTATTCTTTCGGAATTAATAGCAGTTGCATATAATATATTCTTATTTATTGTAGTTGTAGCAAGTAATGCTATTCTTCTTGCTATACTGCTTATTAGCTGTATTAAGTTCTATAGAATTAGTATGCATAGTGCTGCTTTAAGCTATACTGCTATATCAACTGCTATTCTTATTTTAGAGTTTCTTGCTT